CGTTCGAGGGAGGATGGAGAGAGAGAGAGAGAGAGAGAGAGAGAGAGAGAGAGAGAGAGAGAGAGAGAGAGAGAGAGAGAGAGAGCGAGAGAGAGAGAGAGAGAGAGAGAGCGAGCTAGCTGTTGGTATTCGCATGCCGATGTGGCAGGGCAACCGTGCGGGAAGATTGCTGCTCTGCATGCAGGCGTTCATGTTTGTATCATGCGTACATGCTTTGCGTAGGGGTAAGTGTTCCGAGACGTGCTACATTGTTTTCATCCGTTAGAGCACCCCGAAGCCCGTGTGTTTATCCGTTGAAACGTCCCGAGGCACGTCATGCATGCGTTGAGATTGTAGGCCGTATGGCGTCAGCGCGTCTCCGTTCTTGATTTGTGGTCTCGCGGACCTCGCCACACAGCTGGCCACTGAAGCTACATTCGTTCCCGGCAAGCACGCTTTACGACGAAAAAACAGTGTGTTCCTCTGTTGAGTGTGCCAATTTGCAACCAATGGGGAGGAGACGGGCGGAAGGGCTTCCCGGCATGTGTGCATGTAGCGCTATCTGCTTTGCTTGCACCGTCGACACCAACCAATGCTGACGGTTAGGGCGGGGAGCACTGAAAGGGTCTAAACAAACCACTCTGTCTATCGTTTGTTCCTGCCTGTCTGTCTGTCTGTCTGTCTGTCTGTCTGTCTGTCTGTCTGTCTGTCTGTCTATCTGTCTGCATGTCTCCACCCTACCGTTGTCTCTCCTTCCAACAATCTTCGCCCCAGGCGATGCTAACAAACGTCACCGCGCAGCAGCAGCAGCAGCAGCAACAATCGTGGCGCGGGAGTGAGAACGGTGGGAACGTGACTACGCCAGTCGGCGACGGCGACGGCAATGACGGCGGAGAAGAGGCTGCGGCTGCAAAAAACCCTCCAAAGATACACGCCGGTTTCAAGAGGGCCTACGTGAGCGTGAACGGGACTCTGGGCGCGGTGCTGGGATCGGCCATGGAGGGGAAGCCGGAGGTGATTCGTTGTTGTTGTTGTTGTTGTTGTTGTTGCTGTTGCTGTTGTTGTTGTCGTTGTTGTTGCATATCCGGGAGTGTCGTGTCTTGGCCTTGTGTCTCATTCTCTCGGGTAACTCCAATATCCTACCGTTTTTTTTCTTGTCTATATATCAAACACACGCGAAGAGAACAATGCGAAAAAAAGTGAAATACACGTAATGTTCTCTTCATGATTATGATCGTCATACGTCTTTTGTACTACCAACTTTCTGTTCCCAAACGCAGGCAACAACAACAAACAGCCAGCCGTTAAGTCCCCCTTTTGACGATGATCGTCACGATTTGTTTTTCTTCTTTTTTGCTGGTGCCACCGCTGTTATACTAGGACTGGCACGTGTACATCACGGGACACTCCCTGGGGGGAGCCCTGGCTACCCTTGCCACGCTGGATCACCGTCGTCGGTATCCTGAGGCCAAGGTCACAATGTACAACTTCGGCAGCCCGAGGGTGGGCAACAAGTGAGATACATTGGATAGTTTTGAAGGAGATAAAGCTGGGGACGTGAGATAGATTCAACATTAAAGACGTGGTGAAGATGCGATAAGATGATAGGAAGACAAGTGAGATCGAGACGGGTATAGAAGGAAGACGAGATGGAATGATTGGAACAAGGTGATAGGGAGATAAGAGTCTGCGAGAATAATGTACATATGATAACCAGGATAGTGAAAGAGCGGTGAGAAGATTGGATAGTCACGAAGACAATTGCATCAGATCAAAGTAAGGTAGGAAGACAGGAAGAAACGTAAATAAGAAAATGAGGTACTGTATGTGACGACAAGAAGGCAAAAAGATAGACACGGGTAACATAGAACAGTGGATAACATTTCTGCCGTTTCATCTTCACTCTATTATTTTCGAGTGTATACCTGACAGCGATGTGGTTGTCATTCACTTAATGATAGAGAGTAGATTACATGAAAATTCTTTCATTTCGCCGAGGAAATCAGGGCTTTTGCGGAGCTGTACGACAGCTTCGTCGGCGACAGCTTCAGGGTGGTGAACAACCTTGACGTCGTGGCGAGAATGCCGAGGGCTACCATGGGCGGCATCTCCCTCGACTACCAGCACTCCGGCCGCACTGTGATGGTACGACGAGTGACGATGAAAAATGAAGAAAATGAGTCCGTGTGGAACCCGGCAGAGCCGTTGGTCACGAAGGTTCTATGGTTTGATTCCAGGTCTCATATACGCACATGCGTGCACTTTTCTGCTGTTGTTTTCGTCTCAGATGGTAACCTGTAGCTTCAACAGCGGTAGAATCTAGGAAAAGTTCCAAAGTTTCATTAGATGACAACTATCGTTATGTTTAATTGATGAGGGCTTAGAGGGCGGCTGTGCGTCTCCTAAGGCAGCTCAATCGTCACTACATTCGCGTTGCTGAGGATACACGGCCGTCGGCGGAGTTAACCATCATACACACGTTGAATCAAGCATCCATGTGTTGGTTAGAAATCCTCGCTGAACGCCGAATCCACATGACGTCACCAGAGTGTTGGGCCGATCATGCGTGTCATATTTCAGCTCGTTTTCACCCTTTCAAAGCAAAATTCGAATTTCCAGTTAATATCACGATCACTTCGAATTCTATGTTTACTTTCATAGTTTCACTCTCTTTTCATTCGTATGAAGTCATTATATTTTCACTCTATTGTCATTGCCAGGTATATTTACTTCAATTGATATGTTATACTTCAATGTCTTCACTCACCTTTCTTTCTTTGAATGGAAATGTCAAATTTGCAGACGTGCAACGAACTACTTCGAATACATGTTTCACTTTCCCGTGTTTTCACTCTCTTACGTTCGCTTTTCACTTTTGAAACCGGCTTGGTGTGTTTTCAAGGTCGCCGAGGACCCCGAAGAACCGCCTTGGATACAGGGGGAGGTGAGAAACAGTCGTCCATCCATATTAAAAGCAAACAGCAAAGAAAGCAAGAGAGCAGAAAGTGTCACAAGTAGAACGGTGGAAAGACAAACGCAGCGGAAACGCGAGCGCGCATTGATGCGCTGGCTGTCGTGTGCGCTCGACCTGCCATGCGGCGGGAACCGTGGTTTGCAGTTTTTGCGAGGGTCGTTCGGTCGAATGCCCATACTTTGATGGTTTACCCGTGGGGTTTGGGTCGCGATGCATGGTTTCTGAGGTTGATTCGATCGTCCAAGGAGACTAACCCTTATCTTTACCCAAAGAATGAAGGACTCGAGGGTATTAAGTGGAAATTGTGTTGCCCAGGACGATTACATCTATACCTAATCTCTCCTGCGAGAAGGACGCCGGTGACTGAGATCGTCATCCGGTGTCTTAAGGGGGCATTGTTCACTCTTGCTCACGTTTCCTCGCCCTCCTCCATGCTTGCCAAACCGCGAACAACGATATCGATCTCGTGATGCGCGTATTATAGTCTGGCGGGGAGTGTCCCCTGGAGGAGACGGACCCCGTGATGTTGCTGACACAGGGAAACACCGACTTCTTCAGCGCCGAGATCGACTTCATGAAGGCGCTCTTCAGCGGCAAGGGCATCGACCACCACATGGAGCACAACTGTGAGTAAGCTCTTACCTACCTCTTTCTGTCTGTCTCCTTGCTGTCTCTCTCTCTGTCTCTCTGTCTCTCTGTCTCTCTGTCTCTCTGTCTCTCTGTCTCTCTGTCTCTCTGTCTCTCTGTGCGTCTGTCCCTCTGTCTGTCTGTGGTCCGTTTGTCTGTCGCTCTCCCCCTTCTGCCTGTCTCTCTCGCGTCTTCCATGGCCGCTCTGGATTGCATTCATTCGTTCATGGTTTCATTCGTAATGACGCCAAGTGAAAAATAAAAATGACCGTGGTGGGTTTTGAACAAGTGCGAACAAGGACGATACACACGTGGGGCTCTGCAGCAGCGTGAAACGTTTGAGTGAGTTGAGCGCAGCCGGGTTTTGGTTACTGATTTCCCGATGGTTTTAGCGATACGCCTACATCCGTACGTGCAAAACGCTAACCAACTGTAGCATTTCTCGTGCGGCTCCACGGAAGTCAGTCTCGTGGTGCTTGATGGGTTCGTTTTATTCATGCGCCAAGATACGCGCGGGATGGAGTTTTATAGCAGCTGTGAGCAATGTATCGCCCCCCCTTCCTGTTGCGGTGGTATATAGGCATGTACGTTTTTCGGTATAGTGATGGTCTTTCATCCAACGGACGCGTTCTTCCACCCTTGAAAGTAATCCCTTTCCCATTTGGCCGATGCGTCTTTGCTTCGGCAACCAATGGTGTGCCTGCCGTCGCTAATACTACCGCGCCGCCGCGATCGTCGCGCCGCGCGCACTTTCTTTCTCCCTCCTCTCCTGCACTCGATCTCTCTCGGAGGGAAGATTTCGCCGCGCTGGACAGTTTTTACGACCCCGACGACGTCAAGGAGGCGTGACTATGGACATAGATCTTTTTCAGATCCATCGGACAATGAATTCATTCCTCTCGGGAAATGAAATCATTTCCCGGCCCTCCCGTGTTGGCTGCTTGGATGCGGATGGGATCATTCAATGGATGAATGTACCTGATTAGCGGTGCGCCACCTCTGTCTCACATTGCTCTTCAGTTGCCTATATAGCTTGATTCGTTTTGTGAAGGTGGTGTCGGTGTCGGGAGTGTGGTTCATTGCAGCGATGCGTCAAGAGAGAGAGAGAGAGAGAGAGAGAGAGAGAGAGAGAGAGAGTTAGTTGGTTTGGAATGAAAATATCTGCGGTTGAAATTGTTTTACTATGTCGATTCGGCTCTCCAGACAACAGGTCGGATATTTTTTGGATTTGGGGTTTGTCAATGAAGTGAGGAGTGAATGTTTTGTGTGCGTAAGAAATCCATATGACCCACGACCGACCTATCCTTTGCGAGGGAGAGGCTGTAACAGAGGACGTATGACTGACCTATCGGGACACGGAAGTTGAGTTCAGGTATTGCAGTCAGCGCAAGACGATTCACTTCACTGGGAACGGGTCTTTGGAACTTCCTTCACAGGAGTGAATTCCGATGAGGGTTCACGTGTTTTTCTGTGAAACCATCCCCGACGATATGATACATTTCACGCTTGACATGAAGCCGGTGGTGGGACTATTCGGCAGGCTACAGCAGTATTCATGTTGGATTTGGTTGGATAAGCCGTCGGCAAACCAGGGCAACGACAATCGTGGTTTGCTGCTCAATCTGCCGAGTCTATATTTCCGTTGACAGGTACACCCTTTTTTGTTGTTGGTTTTGACGAAATAGTCGGGGTGCGCTTGATTGCATGCAGAGATTCCGAATTATTTGGTGTGTTGTTGTGTGGTTGGTTGTTGTAGTGGTTCGATCGGCCAACAATACACCGGCCAAACGTCGTTGGTGTTGTATCATTTAGCCGGTCAACATGGTATTACTCGCGTTGGAATGTGCTGCTGTAATTCACGATGCATCGCTTAGCATGCATTGCCAATTCAACGTCATTCCTGTCGTGACAACCCAAGGCAGCATGTCTCTTTGCAGGACGCCATAACCATCGCTCTCCGGGTATGGAAGCGAAACGTCCCCGGAAGTATAGTACATTGGAGACAGCATTCGGCCATCCCAGTTTGCACCCTCATCCCCGTTTGCAGCAGTGCAGTGCACGGCAGGTACGATGTCTGCCTGCCGTGGGTCCATGACAGAACCACTGCGTAAGCGGACAAGGGCAGGGTTGCAGCTTATGCTTCGAATTCTGTCGTCCCGAGCAGCTGACCGTATTTTCACATATTTTTGTCGTGCGGTGGTGCGCCAACATGGCCTCTTGATCAGCACAAATCGGTATCAGGGGGGAAGAAAAAACTGTCATGTATCGCCGTTGATCTCACAGGGAGGGCGGAAACGGCGTTTGATGATTGCGCTACTGTGATGTGGCATACGTACGCAGTGTTGTCGAAATTGAGAGATGAGCAAATATTGCACTCGGTCATGCCGCGCGCTCGCAATCGTAACATATCGATGGCCGATTTTTTGGTTTCGCATTTGTCTCGTACTCAGCGTACTGTCTAGTATTATGCGCTGCACACGGCATGATGCTTTGCTGGCCCTGCTGTCCGCGAAGGAAGACGATAGACGGAAATACAGTAGCAGTGATGGGACGCGATCACCATAGGGCGTCCGTATTCACAGGACAAGGGAGGGTAGACATGGCACGTCCGCGAGAAGGGTCGAGGCGCAAAGCCTTAACGGGTCACCACCACCACCACATGCACCCCGCATTCAACCCCCTTCAGAGCACAGCACTAACCGGTGACCATCGCTCCGGAGTAACAGTGCTTTTAGATGTAAGCGCTGACCGGTTGATTATGTGATAGGTTCGGCTTCTCAGCCTACGGGCGCCTGTACCTGCGCACCATAGAATATGCTGTAAAAAAAAAGACGAGTAGGTGTAGGCAGGTGGCTACTAGCGGGGGCAGCACCTGGACGCGTCTACCGTGCATCCCACCAAAAAAAAAGAAACTATTTGGCCATTTTGACAACGTGGCACCAAGGCTCCTCGCATTGCGACCGCTGCGATGACTTCACGGCGGTGTGTGTGTGTTCGTCCCGTCTATTCTGGCGCCGGTTTTCAGGCCTTCCGGCGTAAGTACATACCTGACATATCAGCCGGGGTCACGCGAGGAAGGTCGCATAGGGCTCTTTTTTCATAGTTTTGGTTGTATTGCCCCACCTTTCCCCCTGCGGTGCTTGCATCAGTGTTTTATCGCGACAAGGGTTCAGCCATCCTTTTCCCTCGTCGACCGTGAAGCCGAAGTTTGACCCGGTGGTGAAAATGTTTATTTTATTAATTGCCCAGACCAAGGCACGTCCTGCTCTTAATTCTGTCTATACGCATAACGCACAGAAAAAAGCAAAAACATCCAAGGGAGTACAACGCACAGAGAACGGGAAAAAAATGGTTGGTACTGTACAACAAAAAAAAAGAAGAGAAAAACTACGTGTAACATCAAAATATTCGCGTCAAGCGCGGCGAACAGAAACAAACACACATCGTTCGGTAGCATGGAGGGAGAGATTCCAGCACACGTGCCGAAAACAACCAACCCAAAAGGTTCGATACAACACCTGTCGCGCAAGACTACGAGCATGGAACAGACAGCGCCGCCCGCGGGCTTCGAATTATCCTTGGCGCAAGCCATGGCACGTGGCTGACCCTCGCGACATTGCGCCCCCCGGCGCAGCGACGTACACATGCATCGGAACACACTCGCGTGCGCGACTTGCACGAGCAGCCATTGACGACCCGTTCCGACCCGACGAACAAGCGCTACGCCGTGGTGCGCTACCTGGCACCACCAGTACCCGGCAGACTCCGCCGCCGTCTCCCCTGCTGCTGCGAGAACCCCCGCTACCCCTACCGCCCCCTCGCTGGGCTCTGCCGGCCATCTCTCTTCGTTTCCGCCCCCCGCCCCTTCTCGGCGTGACGGCTTTTCGAAGCATAACGCATCGTCCGGCACCCAGCACGCGCACGTGCGAGAAACGATATGGTGCAACGCTCACGAAGGCGCTCTCTCTCCGTTTTTACCTACATGATGACCCCAGCAGCAGCAGCAGAAGAAGCAGCAGCAGCAGCAGCAGCAGCCACAAAAAACAAAGGCGTGGCGTCCGCCTTCTCCTACTCTTGTGCAAGTGGAGCGACAACAACAACGTGCCGCGCATCTCACGCGGGCGTGTGTTCTCACTGGCACACCCAGGAGAAGGCCACAAAAGAACACGCGCACACGCATGTGCCGGGGGCGCCGCTCCCTCCTTCCCATAGAAAACGTTCCGTCGGCGTCTTGCCGCCGCTCTATCCCGGTCAACCCAGCAACAGCCAACGCCGTCATCGTCGACAGCAGCAGCAGCAGCAGCAGCAGCAGCGGTAGCGGTAGCGGCAGGAAGCACAGCCGGAAGGGACGGGCGGCGCGGAAACACACGGCTTTCTTCCCCTCCCCCTACGCTCTCAAGCGACCGTCAAAGTCCACCACACACCCCACTTCCGCCCGCGCCGTGCCCCCCCCTGGTGGCAGCACCGCTTGCTCCTGACGTAGGGAGACCTCACACAAGCTGCGACTCCTTTGTGCGGCCGACCGAGTAGGTGTCGCGTGATTGGGGGTCCATGAAGGGGACCCGGGCCGATGACCCCGGGGCGTCGATGTCCTCGAGGGGCATGTATTCCGCCAGGATGCCTCGCACCTGCACCAAAGAAAAGGAAAAAGGGGGGAGGGGGGAAAGCAAGCATTGTTTGGCGCGGCGTCGCCATTTCCGATGAATTTTTCTTGTCCGCGGGGTCATCGTGTTGCTCGCATACATAACGTGTGCGTGCTTGCTCTCCTTTCCTTGTTTGCGAGAGCAGTACGGCGGGGTCGGCTCTTGGCACGACAGCGAAAACACATGTGCGTCCACATCGCAAAAAACACACCCGGATAAACGCGCGATTCCTTTTCACCCCTCTGCACTATCGGGGGGCCCGCGCGCGGCCTCGGCAGGCGTTCATTATTCCGCTACCATATGTGTTATCGGGGTCTCATTCGTCGGCCGACTGAATAGCCTACATACCATAGCCTACAAAACATAGCCTGCAAGACATAGCCTACAAAACATAGCCAACATATCATACCCAAAAAAAACATCCAAAGTATCATAGCCTACACATCATAGAGCAGCCGACGCCGAGGAATGGGACCTTTGGCACGCAATTCAGACGAGACACGAGCGTGCCCGCCACAGCCAGATCCGTCAACCCCCCCCCCAAAAAAAAACGCACGCACACGCAGTAGCATACACACCAAGACACACAAACGCACGCACACACATACACACAAACATTTTCTGTTTTCGGCCGCACAGAGACTGACGTTATTGGCCGGCCGGCTACATTCCCCGTTCGACGCTAACAACACAAGACACACCCACCCACAACACACACACGCTTTCTGTTTTCAGCCGCACTGAGATTGTCAATGTTCAGACGTACCACTATATAAAGACTAGCGTGTTTTCAGTGGTCAGCCGTTTGCGCAGTCGATGCCAACGCAATAAAGACACATGCACAAGGCACACGCACCTGGTCTCGCATCTGCGCCTGCGTGCGCTTGTAGTGCACGAACCCCGCCGCCGTCATGGCGCCGACCACGGCGAAGAGCAGGAACAGGGTGTTCCCCGCCGACATCCCGCCGCTCCCTCCCCCAATAGTCCTGTTGTTCATGCACGCGTCCACTTGCTCGCTGCTCAGCTGCCCGGCGCAACGGCAGATCTGGCACCCCCCCCCCCCCCCCCCCCCAATATATATATACATATAACCAATCCATGACGACCAAAAACGGAGGGGGCAACGGCAATGGGAGCAACGTCCGAAGAAAAAAAATTTTTACCTATGGGTGAACCTCTGGGGGAAAACAATGGTCCGTCCCCTCCAGGAACCCTGTTTCAAGGGCTAAGGTTTGAAAAAAATGAGTAACCCCCCCCCCCAACCCCCATTCCCCAAGTCCAAATAATCCAAAAGGGGGGGGCCGCCCCCTCCGCCAAGGGCCCACCTGGGAAATTTATTGTGGGGGCCTTAAAAAATGGACACCGGTGCCCCAAAAATGGCGGCCTGAAACGGTCTAACTGAAAAAACAACAAATTGAACAAACCCGTTGCCTGGTGGTCCCTGAAGCTCCGCGCCCGAAGTCCAATTCTTATCTGTGTGGCCCAATTTTTTTCTTGGCAACCTGAATTTGTTCCCCTAGTTTCCCAAAACCCCACCACAACGCCCAAAAACTGAACAAAAAAAAAAAAAAAT